AATATGACCTTACATTTACTGCGCCGGTGTATTCCTCAGACCCATGATCACGCTTATTTCACCGACCGATTTACCATAAAGTCCTTCCGACATCCGTTACCTGTAGCGCGCGGCTCTTGGTTTGGGTAAAAAAAAACAGATTTCACCCAAAGGACAGGTAAGTTCAGGGATGGTAACTTTCACGTGGATTAGTTTAAAGTGGTAGTAGACTTTTGTTGCATCTACAGCATCCCTTCACTCATCCGTCCGAGCCCGGCGTCATGACAGAGTCAAGAGGGCCAGAGGCGGGACCTAGCGTAGGCGGCTGAAGCCGCCACCACGCTTGACATAGGACCCACGGACTGGCAGTTGCAAAGTCTAAGTAATGGTTGCGCTTAGGACACAAACAATCGTCAGGTCGAATTCCAGGTAGAAGGCGAAAAGCTTAAGGCATGTGTGGGAATAATTCATTTTGCACAGAACTCCCAGTTGCTGTCTCAGACGGCAGTGGCCAGTGGCGAAACTAGAGCTAACTGCTGACTGCGTCCAGCCAGGCCTGAGAGGGAGAAGGAGACGGTGGGGGGCAGCTGCTTAAGTAGGATTGCGGAGCATGTTCAAGTATTCTGCAATTGGTGCGTGCAAAATTATCGGACTATGTATGTCGTAGTCGATCTGCAGAGCAACGCGTCTGAAAGCACTGCCTGAGATAGTGGATGACATTTAGGCAGTTGGCCCTGAACAGGGAAGCCGGACAAAGCAAGGTAGGGCGTCGGCTACAAAGTGAAGTGAGGCAACTGATGGCTGGTATCTGAGTCTGCATCTACGCATGTCACCAACGCTGCCCAATGGGAGCGGCGGCACAAGTCCCAGCTCACACAGCTTGGACCTTCGTGCCCCACACCCTGGTAAAAGCCTAGACTTGGTCAACCTAGTTCGGATAAAATTGACTGGGAGGAATACCGAGGCTACATTGAGTAAGAGCCATTGCAGTTTGACTCACAATCCGCCAGTCAGTCAGTTAATCACTCTACTCGAACACACACTGAACTGACCGCGTGGTGCGAGTTATCCTGTCAGTTTCCAACGTTCCAAGCCACGACTTTTAGTGCCCCCTGGTAGCCTCAAGCGCGCTGAACCGTCGACATCACTCTCTGGTCCCAGTTTCGGGCCATAGTCACCACCGAACAGGTTAGTGGACTGATGCGGGGGGTGCGCGCAGTCGCTGATATATCTAATGACCTCGTTTGTGCGTACTACATACACGACCTGGCACCTAGGTCGCGTTCCACAGAAAAGGCTCATATCTCAGATGAGTGATTGTGCTAGACGCCGGGTTAAGGAGCCTGT